TAGAGTCCCTCTGGTATGTGCCCCCTGCACGACATTTCTGAGGAGAAGCCGAATGAAGCTAGCCTGAGGCAGTGAATAGTTTAGCTGAAGAAACCACATGGAGACCCCTGCCAGCTCTGAGATGTTTACAATGCCACTGGATCCTCAAGACTTTCAACCCACTGGCCTGTGATCTACCTGCATTCGGTGTCATTGCATGTGTTATATGAGTCTGAAGAGGACTTTATAGATTGGTATCAGACATATGGGCTAATATTGGACTTATGGACTAGATCTGGACTGGACTGCGATGTTTTCTCAATATTCAATTGCTCTTGTATATAAACCTCTTTCTTATACACATATGAGTGTCTATGAATTTGTTTCACTAGTCTACCCGGAATAGCACAATGGTTAATGTTGTATATCACTTAACCAGGCTGTCAATGATCTGGCAAAACAGGGCTGGGTGATGTGATGTGATGTGATGTGATCAGTCAGTCGAGAGTTTGCTTGGGGCTGTCATGACAAAGCTCCTCTCTCTTTGTCCTGTCCTCTGTTCATCACTTGACCTCTGGTTCGTGGGAGAGTAAGCCTGCAGAGGCCACTAGCCACCCACCTAAGCTGCAGGTTTTGGATTCTCCAGCTCCTGAAGTCCATGAGCCAGCAGAAGTCTCTAGCCTGCTACCTGACCCTCACATTTGGGGATCTGCAGTACAACCATCTTGCTAGGCTTCAAATTAATCATCCCAGAAGCAGAAAGGGAACCTTACAAGCACTAAACAGAGAGCCAGGAGTGTTTCTGAGGTCCATGTGCTGAAAGGACCCCTTTGCCTTAGGAGACTGAGAGAGAGAAAAGGTTACAACACTACAGCTCGTGGGGTGCAGGGGGAGCAGAGCCCGGCGGCCAGCAGGAGACTGGCTGGAGATGATGCCCTGCCATGTGTACAAAACTGTTAGGAGACATGAGGGCCTCAGAATTCTCTTATCCTTAGGGTGCCCCCTCATGCGAGGGTCCATGTATTGTTGCAGCTAGGTCCTGGAGTCCGTTCCACCTCATAGTGTCCCTGTGTACAGTAGAACACCTCTTCCTATACCTGAGCCCCTCGTCCACAGACAACTATCTGTTTTTCCCAGGTGCCATATTCTTTTGGTCACTGTTCTGAGTTGGATTGTGTGCCGCAAGAAGAGAGTTGAAGTTCTTACCTCCACTTACCTTAGAATGTAACCGTTGGGGTCTTGGCAGATGCCATTAGCTAACACGGGTCATAGGAGGCCCAGTACTGCTCAGGCAATGGGTTCCTCGTTGGCCTGCTGACCATTGGGAGGCTTTTGACTTCTGTAAAGAGTTACCATCTCAAAAACCCACATGGGCATTCTACTCTCTTCCAGGGCCCCCAGAAGTTGGAACTAACTCAGTGGCAGTGAGCGAACACGAGCCAGGCTGACGTAGAGTGAGCACTGACCTAGATCTACGCTCACTGCTGTCATTATAAAAATGAGATGCAAGACCCAGAGAGACAGGTGTAGATCGAAGAATCTCAAGTGAGCACGGAGGAGGAGCCTGGAGGGATGCACCTCTAAGCCAAGGAACACTTGAGGCCACCAGAAGCGAAGAAAAATTCTTCTCGGGGGTTTACAAAGGGAACATGGTCCTACAAACACCTTCATTTCAGGCTAGTGCCCTCAAGAGCTAGGAAAAAAATAATTTCTGCTTTTTTAAGCCAACCCACCACCTGTCTGCCAGTTTGTCATACTGTGATGGTTTGTGTTGCTGTGGTTTGTGTTGCTGTGATGCTGGAAGCTTTGTCACGGGTATTTCAAATACCAGCAGGGTCACCCACAGGGAACAGATTTCAGCAGAGCTTCCAGGCAAAGCACAGACTATGAAGAAGGACTAGGCTGCCCACTGTTGGGGAATTAACCCCTGAAAACCTTAACGGAAGAGTCAAAACATTGTCAGACACTGGACACCTCCTGAAAAGAAGCAGAACACTGTCAGAGACAGGGCCAGGAGATGACTGAGCAAGAGCTGCCTTCTCAAGGAAGGGTCCACCATAATGACATGGATGGATTGAAGACTGCAAGAGTGGGCCCGACCTAAGGCATGGTAGTTTCGATCGCATCATATGTGTGTGAAAGTTGGACACTGAATCAGGAACACCAAAGAAGAACCGATGCATCTGAACTATGGTGCTGGTAATGAATATGGAAACCTTTGGACTCTTTTGGACTCCCGAAAGAACAAGCAAATCTGTCTTGGAAAAAGTACAGTGCTACTTAAAGGGCAATGATGGCAAGACTTCATCTCATGGCCCCTGGGCATATTGTCAGGGGAAACCAGTCTCTGGAGAGGACATCATGCTTGGGAAAGTAGAGGGTCGAAAAAGAGAACTTTCGCCAAGATGGATCGACACAGTGGTTGCAACCGTGGGCTCAAAACATGAGCACAATTGTGAGGCTGGCACAGGACCGGGCAGTGTTTTGTTCTGTTGGGCACAGGGTGTCTGTGAGCTGGAACTAACTCGGGCACCTAACAACAGTGTTTTAAGCCAACCACTTTATGGTTTTAATTTGCTACTATAGCCTGGAAACAGAGTTTATAACCTGAGGCACCCTGGTGGCCTAGTGGTTACAAGTTGAGCTACTAACCACAAAGCCAGCAGTTCAAAACCACAAGCTGGTCACGAGAGAATGACAAGACTTTGGACTCCCATAAAGAGTTACAGTCCCAGAAACTCAAGAAACAGGGGCAATGCTACCCTGTCTTGTAAGGTCACCATGGGTCAGAGTAAACTTGAGGGCAATGAATTTGGTTTGAGGTTCCCACATTTCTCCATACTTTTCACAGTTACTCTTTAAAGGGGTAGCCCAGTATTCCGAACAACCTGCCGTAGTTTATTTGGTCACTCCCCTACCTTTTGTTTCACTAGGAATAGTAAGTCTGAACTGAACATCAGTATTTGATTGTTGTAGTTTCATGTTTATTACTGCTATTGTAATTTGAAATAGTAAAGTTACATTTCTCGTCAAATCTTTACTTTGTGCAGAAACTATGGGGTACTGTCCCCTCATCTGACCCAACAATATGGGACTGTGAGACAGAGCGACAGGCAGGCTGGTTTCCTGGCCCAACGAGGCAAAGGCCAAGAGACCATGTGACGCAGAGAGACCCCATTGGATAGAATAGAATTCCCCTTGTGGATTTCAGAGACTGTAACTCTTTATGGAAGTGAAAAACCTCCTCTTTCTCCCAGTGGGCTGTGTAATCCCTGAGAAATCATTCAGACCAGCTAACATCACGCACCTCACCACAGAGCAGCAGCTCCAGCCACCCCATTAGGGGTGAGTTAGGTCAAGGCTGACCAAATCGTACTTGGTATATACCCCAAGGAAACAAAGAATTAATCACGACCAGATATATGCACACCCATGTTTATGGAAGTACTACCGCAATAGCAAAACAACCAAAATACCCATTGCCGGTTCGACTCATATCTATTTAAAGATGCGCTATACTGTGTTCCATAGTCACTGTACAATTCTACAATCCCACCAGCAGTGTACGGGCATCCCAATCTCTCCAGCATTTCTTACTCTGGTTTTGTTTAATGCTGCCCTTGGTGCTGGTGTGAGGTGGTAGTTCATCATTATTTTAATTAGCAGGCCTCTTATAGTGAATGATCATGAGCATTTCCTCAAATGATTGGTGTCGGCCTAGATGTAATCTTTGGTGAAGTGTCTATTCATGTCTTCTGCCCATTTTAAATTGGATTATTTCTGTTTTTCTTATTGAAGTAATATAGTTTTCTATGGATTTTCAAGATTAGCCCTTTATCCAATACTTCATTGCCAATTTCCCCCTCCCCCCAATCTGTGGGTTCTCCTTTTACTCCTTTGTGGAAGTCTTTTGATGTACATAAATGTTATGCTTTTAGGAGGGCCCAGCCCTCTGTGTTGTCTTCTGTAGTGGGAGCTTTCCATGATGTTTGGTAGTATGCATTGTATTAGGCCTAGTTTGCCCCTATTTTTTTCATTGACGATCTTTTAAGCTATAGGGTTTATACATTTAAGTCTTTAATCCATCTTGAGTTCATTTTTTTATATGATGTGAGGTGTGGGTCCTGCTTCATTATTTTGCAGGTAGAGGTCAAATATTTCCAGCACCATTTGTTGAAAATACTTTATTTAAGGCATTTTGGTCCTTTATCTAAACTCGGGTGTCTGTACAAGCTTGGTTTTCTTTCTGGGTTCTCTTCTGTGATCCACCTATTGTTCTACGAATACCAAGCTGTTTTGATTGTCCTGCCCTGAAATAAGCTTTGAGATCATGGAGTGAGAAGCCTCCTATTTTGCTTATGTTTTTTTAGTTGTGTTAGGCTTATCCTGGGTTCCTTTCCTACCCATATCAAGTTTGTGATGAGTTTTTCCATTTCTTTCAAAAATTTCACTGAGATTTGGATTAGAATTGCATTGTATTTATAGTTTGATTTAGGTGATACTGACGTTTTCACTATATGAAGTCTTCCTATCCATGAGCATAGAACAGTCTTCCATTGACAGAAGGCTGTAAATCTATCTCACTTTTCTCTCTTGAAGCAGGTGGCTCAAAGCGCCGACCTTTTGGTTAGCAGCCCAACCCCCAACCTACTTGTGCTCCCAGGGTTCCTTCCATACAGATAACCATCAAGAAAACCTGGTGGAAAAGTACTGTAACATATGGGTTGCTATAAGTTGAAACTGACCCAAGGGCAACAAGTTTTGGTGCAACTGGGGAGCTTCAGTTTGGGTATTAGATGAACTCCAAGCCGTGTATTTGTCACCAGTAAAACACCACTGCTTATCTTATCAACCCATCCAAGGAAAATGTGCTCTTGGAGAAAGTCTCCCTGCCTGGTTCAGAGGCCACAGGGCAATAAATTCAGGCAGCCTAGAAGAGAGCAAACCGGTTCTGCCATGGTCAGCGCCCACTGAGCAGGACTGAGGTGCCTCCTGGGAACCAGCGTCCTACCTGAACAAGGATGGAGAACAAAGAGACGGGGCCTCTGCGGCCTGCCTCGCCTAAGGAGGGGGTGAGTGCCAGCAAATAGTCACAGCCACGGTTGGGGTCCCACCTGATGGGAGAGCTCCATGGAAAGAGCAGTGGGCTCCTGGAGGGGTTCTGGGAGGAGCTATGAGGAGCAGGGCAGGAGGGGAGTGTCCTCTCCACCCCCTCACAGCTAGAGCACAGGTGAGAGGGGAGGGTCCTATCCGATGAAGGGCTGGGATGTGGAGGACCCTGGAGGAGGCCTGCTCTCCTACCTCACTCCACCCCCACCCGTGGGAAAGGAGAAGCCTCTGAAAGTGCCCAAATCCTGCCGTTCTCTGTGTGGTCACCGGGTACACCCGCACAGTGCTGTAGGCAGTCAGACAGGTGCTGAACTCCTGGCAGCCGAGGGTACTTAAGGGGGATGTGGGGCCGGGATGGGTGTTGGTGGGAGCGTAGGGATAGGTTGAGGGCCTGGTTGGAGTGGTGGTGAAGGTGTGGGGGGAAATGAAGGTTGGTGGGGTGAGGATATGATGGGGATGGGGATGGGGATACAGTCTAGTTGGAGGTCTAGGGGTGAGGGGTTGGGGGGAGGGTCATGGTGAGCATCTGATGAAATGAGGGTGAGGGTGTGGGTTGGGTACGGTATGAGGAGATGGTATGAGGAGGGAGATGGCTGTAGGAGGATGTGGGTAGGGCTCTGAGTGGGGTTGAAGGGGAGGGAAGGGATGAGGGTTTGGTATCCGATGGGACAAAGGTGGGGTGAGGGAGTAGTGGGGGTTAGTATATGACTGGGACATGATAAGGTATGGAGAGGGGAGGGTCTGAGTGGGGCAGGCCTGAGGTGGGGCAAAGGTGTGGTGGGGGCTAGAAGGGTAGTGGACCTGGCGGTACACCGTTATCATCAGCAAGCCCAGAGGTGGGGCAGGAAGAGGTGGGGCATTGCAGGGCCTGTGGCTCTGGACCCACTCACCGATGGCCCCGTGACCCCACCCCAATCCTGCAGCCCCTTATGGCCAGGGAGCTCCTGGACAGCTTTGATAGGTTTCCCAGGGGGCCTATTCTGAGGGAAAAGCAAGCTGTGTGTGTCAGAGCCACTATCTGTTGTTCTCCCAGCAATGTTCTTTCCCCACACCCTCCCCACAGCTGCCTTCTTCTAACCACTCAGACGGCAGCTCAAAGGGCACCTCGTCAGAGAGGCCAACCCGTCCACCCTGCTGCAAACGCCTCCGAAGGCCTCTCCTCCCCCACGGGCTGCCATTCCATTCCATTCCCCGTGTGACGGTCTCCACAGTATTATCGGTCTCCACAGTACTATCGCTGCGGGATGACTGTTGGTGTTTGGTCTCCCTCCCTGCGATGTCGGGGAGCTCCATGGAAGCTCACAGCCACCCTGGAGGGCAGGCTAGAATGGCCCCTGTGGGTTTCCAAGACTCTAACTCTTAATGGAAGTAAAAAGCCCCGGTTTTTCTCCGTCTGAGCAGCTGATGGTTTGAACTGCTGACCTTGCGGTTAGCAGCGCAATGCATTAGCCTCTCTGCCACCAGGGCTCCTCGAGCTCAGCAAGGGCAGTGCTCTCCTGGGCCTCACTCATCCTGTGGGCCTGGCACATAGGCTAACAAACTTACTTGGCCTACCTTTCACTTTTCAGGGGGGTGGGGGAAATTACTCAGCACTTCCCCTCACCCTTGGCAATTAAAAACTTTTTTACTCTAACACATCATCCTGGATAAATTGTAGATGTTGGCTTTTGCAGCCCCGCTGGATCATTCCTGGGCCCCCCAGGGATCAATACCACCCACTTAGGGTGGGGTTAGGGAAACACTGCTCTCACACAAGGCCAGGAACACAGTCGGTGCATCTCCGGGAAGGAAGGAACGCATGTGCAGAGAAACGGGAAACACTGCCAGTACCACCCACCCACCCCTGACACCCTAGATCTTGAGGACTCCCAGCCTTGGGGCATCTTCTCTGCCCCGCCACCTCCTCCACCCTCCCTGGGCATGGCCTGGGCTCCTCTTCTCCCATTTACAGTCTGAGCTGGAGAAGGCTGGAGACCCAGCCTCGGCTTCCTCTCTGGGATTCTGGAGCTGGGTTTGGCCAGGGTCATCCGCGCAGAGTTCCTGAACTCGGCCTTCAACTCCACAGAGACTTCAGCCCACGCTGCTGCTGGCCACACTGAGCGCAGCCTTCGGCTCTGCCTTCCAGTATGGCTACAACATCGCCGTGGTCAACACTCCACACAAGGTGGGCACAAGGTGGGCTGGCGGGTGGCTGAGTTGGGCCTGCAAGGCTGCTGCCATCTCTCTTCTGGAGGCTTCTGTTTCCCACGCTCAGGCCCTCCGGTCTCTTCTGGAGACCGGGGGCAGGAGGGGACAGGTGGGGGGGGGGTTGGGCATGTGCCCGCAGAAAATGTCATCCTCTCTAAGCACAATAGGACGCCAGGGGACTGGGGTTCCCTGCCTAGGCACTCTGGTCCTCTCAGTCCTGCAGCTCCTCCCTGGAAAGGTCATTTGTCGAGAGCAAAGAGAAGGATCCGGTGGGCCTCGAACCCTGGGACACATAGCTCAGTCATTGAGATGGGAGAGCAGGGAAGCAAAGGAAGCCACAAGAGGGACCCCGCAGATGCAAGAATCAAGGGCTTTCAAGGGGTTGCTGGACATTTTTCATTATCTTTTCATTCCATTTTCCCACAAGCTTGTTGAAATCCCCTCATACATAAGGTTGATCCAGCAGCAGCAACTAATGATGACTGGAGGGTGGAGCGAGCCAAGGGGGCCGCCCACGTTTGTGGGGAGGAGCTGTGTTTGTGTGGTGATTGTAAGGATGGGGTGGCAGGAAAAGAGTTGGTGCAGGACAAAGAGGGACAATTACAGGCAGGACACCCCTGAAAGGGCCAAAGAGAATGGGATTAGATGTTTGGGGGCTGGGAAAGGAGGCAGGTATAATTGCCAATCATTTGCTTATGTGGATTCTGCTGTATTTTTTAAAATCAATGTCATTCGACAGGTGAGTAAACTGAGGCACAAAAAGACACGATCCACTTCATATGACTAGTGTGCAGCGGATCTGAAGTGAGGGCCCAGCTCCACCCAACCCTTAGATCCAGCCGCTCAGCCGTTGCTGGTAACCAGAGAGGTGAGGTGTGAGAAAGCAAGCATGATAAAGGCAGACCGTGTTTTTCAGTCTGGGGAGACTAGAGAAACAAATCCAAGGACACCCACATGTGTATAAGAAAGAGATTCATATACAAGAGCAATCGAACATTGAGAAAACATCCCAGCCCAGTCCAGATCAAGTCCCATCAGTCCGATATTAGCCCATATGTCCGATACCAGTCTATAAAGTCCTCTTCAGACTCATGAAACACATGGAATGACGCCGAATGCAGAAGCTCACAGGCCAGTAGGTAGAAAGTCCTTGGATCCAGTGTCACTGGAAATGTCTCAGCACTGCCAGGGGTCTCTGCATCGGGTGGGTCCATGTGTCTTGTCAGCTGCTATGCCTCCCAGGGTGTGAGCAGAGAGTCTCCCACCTCCAAGGAAGAAATACCAGAGTTCCCAGAGTTCTCAGGAGAAGGCCATGCCCACACAGAGGCCTCTTTGGCTATGATCTGATTGACAGACTAGACTCCACCCCTTCATTCATAAGCCTCTCATATTGACAATTATATAACTACCGCACCATGCGCCAGAGAGGGTTGTCTGTGGAGGAAAGGAGTGCTGGGTATGAAAGAGAGGATGAATTACCAGGGGATGTTGAATCTGAAATGTTCTTTTTTTCCCCCTTTAAATTAAAAAAAAATTTTTTTTAAGATGAGTGAGGGGCTTGCACATGATTACAAGCTAAGGAGAAACCCAGAAAAGAAAGAAAGAGAGGGAGAAGTTTCAGGAATGAAAGGACTCATTATATTTACCTATAATTCTATTTCTGTGGTGAAGTCGCAGTAAATCTACAGGAAATTATCCGTCTGAACCATCAGAGCGACATGATACTACATGTGTTTGTTTTATGAAGAAGAAGAAAAGTCACGTATAATAAAGGACCATCCAGTCTTTTCTCACGTTGGAATGCATTCATATAATTGATTCATATGAAGCAGGTTGCATTTCCTCTTACAGGGTAGCTCAGGACTATAATTGCTGTATCAACCTAGACTCCATCTAGGTTCAAAACTGGAATCAGCAGCCTGGGGAGAGGTACCACTTCCCCTTTTTCCTTCATGTGTTCAGACGCCACCAGCTGATAGGTGGCAGTGGGATGCCCGGAGTTCATTCTTTGCCACTGAAAAATATGATAAAGCACTCTTAGGTGGTCTTCCTGTGCTTCTTGACATTGTTCAGCGCTGTTGCCTCTGATCTATTTACGAAAACACACAAACACACCAAGTGTGGCTACAGGTGAAATTGAGCTTTGCATCTACTGGCAAAGACGATGTGCTCCGTAAAACCCATCCCCAGAGCACAGCAATGCAAAGCATAATTCTTACAGGGGGCCTTCAGAAAAGCTGGTGGGGGAAAGGTGATTCAAAATCATGGAATCGCCCACAGATGTTTTGAAGTTCCTCTAAGACAGCGGTTCTCAGCCTGTGGAGGGCTACCCGATTCATAACAGTAGCAAAATGACAGTGATAAAGTAGCAATGAAAATAATTTTAAAGTAGCAATGAAAATAAAGTAGAAAAAAAAAATTCCACAACATGAGGAACTGTATTAAAGGGTCGAGCCATTAGGAAGGTTGAGAACCACTGCTCTAAGACCTTTCAAACTCTTTAGACGAGATTAGACTATAGCAATAGAAATTGCTAGAATTCAGAGTAGTAAAGTGTCAATATAATGAGAAGATGGTGTTTAACCCAAAGAGGGAAAACAAGCCCCTGCCCTCAAGGAGAAGCGGGGAAAAGTCAGTCCTGGGTGTGCACTAAACCAAACTCGCCGTCATCCTGTCAGTTCTCACGCAAGGCAGCCCCACAGGACAGAGCAGAACTGCCCCTGTGAGTGTCTGAGAGCGCAGCTTTCAGGGAGTAGAAAGCCTCATCTTTCCCTCAAGGAGAGGCTAGTGGTTCGGAGCTGCTGACCATAAGATCAGCAGCCCAACCTGGCATCCCTATGCCAGCAGGGCGCCTTTAGAACTACACCTGACTCAGCCAGTTGTTACAGGAGGCATCTAGTGATTGCTCGTGCTGTATATCCATGTGAATATAATCGTTACCATCAATGGAAATTCTTTTCTTTAGCAAGCAACGGGACATCACATTATCACATCGAATACCACTCATTCTCTAGGAATAGATGTCCATCAAGGACAAGAAGACTTGTAGAGACTGTATACATTGCCCCAAACCACACAATTAGAATATTTTTTTGGATTGGCTCTGGCAAGGTAAGAGCCCTGGTGTCTTTGTGGTTACGCATTGGGCTGCTAACCTCAAGGCCGTCAGTTCAAAACCACAAGCCGTTCCTTGGGAGAAAGATGAGACTTTCTACTCCCCCAAAGAGTTACAGTCTCTGGAAACCCCCCAAGCCCAGTTCTACTCTATCCTGTAGGGTTGCCTTGAGTAAGACTTGACCCAGTGGCAGTGAGCTGTGTGTTTTCTGGCAAGGTAGGTTTCTAGAGAAGGAATTTGTACCGCCAGGAAAGGGTTCTGTGCAAGCTGGTTGCTTATCTCAAGCACACAGCAGAGGTTCACTTGGATAACAGCAGAGAAACCGCAGTTCGTTGGTGTGGGATGGAGGGGGCAGGTATTGGCAGACTGTCCCTGGGAACAATGAGAACATTTTGGCCCTGGTTTCTCATGAGGCCCCCCCAGTGCTCTTTGATGAGGACAAGGCAATGTTTTCCAGGTCCTGAAGGCATTTTACAATGAAACCTACTTCGAGCGGCATGGGGCGCCCATGGATGAGAAGGTCACGCTGCTCCTGTGGGCTTGCACCGTGTCCATGTTTCCCCTGGGCGGCCTGCTGGGCTCACTGGTTGTCGGCTTGCTGGTTGATAAGTGTGGGAGGTAAGCCAGCAGGAGGTGCGCTGCTCCTAAACAATTCAGATTTATAAACCACGCCGTCTCCAGGTGACCGGCACACTTGGTCGACAGCCTGGTCCCCTGACCTTCAGGTTGTACCCTCTTGACCTCCAAGTGAGTCCCTGCCTGCCTCCGGAATTTCTTTCCCTGGTCAGTTGCATGAGGGCGGTGGTGGGTCTGTGATAGAAACCTAACCTCCCATGTAGGAGACCTGGCTTCAATTCCTGGCCAAGACACCTCCTGGATAGCCATCCCTGTCTATCAGCGGCGGCTTGTGAGCTTCTGTGTTGGCTGTGATGCCTTCCAGATTTAAACAGACAAGGAAGAAAGGCCTGGCAATCTACTTTGGAAAATCAGCCGATGAGAACCTTAAAGAGCCCAACCGTCTGACCCCACTGTGCTCGGGGTCCTCGGGAGTCAGGGGCACTAACAGCAGCTGGTAATAACAAGAGTCAGGTGCATGACCATGGCGTTTTCTCCCACCATAAAGACAGTACAGCCCCTGAGATCAAGGGTCTTGCCGGTGCTCAGCTCAGTGCCTCGTGAGCACTTCTAGCAGGTGTTCAAGAACTGCTTGTTGATCCGGATAGACTTCGGGGTCCCGTGCTCCTGACGCCAGGCTGCGACAGCAGCAGCCTCTCCCCGGGTGGCCTCGTCAGAGTTTTGTCATCCTGACGGCTGGGGATCAGGCGGCGTTACTCCACGCGCCAGTGCTCCCTGTCTTGTTTGGAAAGGCAGACCAGTCCTTGTATTCTGCTTGGTCTCCATGGGTCCACCCACCTTCCCGCTTCAGCCCGGGGCCTCCAAAGCCGAGACGCCAAGACAGGAACAAGGCTCAGGTCAAGGTTCCCGGGAAGGACGTGTATGTGCGTCCAGGTCACGGCGCTCAGCCCCTGATTTCCTGCGTGCAGGCCCCAGTCCTGTAAATTCACTCAATGGCCTTGGCTGTGGCAAGCCAGGCCATTTGTAGGAGGGAGTGGAAACTCTCTCAAGAAAACCAACTTTTAGAGAACCTGAGTACCTTCCGTTTTCATGCACAAATGAAACGGTTGCCAGTTGAAGATGATCTGATTGGGAAAGCAAACACTGACGTCCAAAGACTAAACACTTACGTTGCCTTACGCTGTGCACTTGAATGAAGAAAGCATTCCATCTATTGTAATGATTTCATCATTCAGACTTTTAATCACTTGGATTGTGCTTCTCTCAGTAAGATCATTTGAGACGTCAGAAGGTTCTAGAAGAAACGCCTTGCCGTTCACTTTCCTGCTTGAATTGTACGGAGATGTCTATTAGAAGGGTCTCATTACGCCCTTCATTTTGTTCAGGCCCAGGAGGCAGGGTGGAGCCAGTTCTGTCCTTGCAAGCTGATTGGTTAAGCTTCCTTGAGGCTAACTGGGTTCCTGGATGTCAGGGAGGCTAGAGGGCTGGTGTGATCCCTGCTGCCAACTCCCTCGGGGGTTCAGCAGCCCCAGGAAGTGCAAAAGGACCCAAGGAAGCCCAGCTGCTTCTCTTAACCCTGTTAAGGCCACACAGCAGGAGCAGTTTCTGTTTAGAGACCCCCTTCAAGCGGCTCCTGCCATGGCTGACTCAGTGCACCTGTATCGGCCCAGCCCACTTGGCACTCACAGGTCTCAGTAGGTGGGTAAATCCCAAGGTATGGCACAGTGAACCAGGCTGCTGACAGCTTCACCACCTCCAACCTGGAGGGGCCTAGGGAGAAGCCGCTACCAGCTCCTGGGGGCTGAGAGAGCAGTGGGGGAGGCTAGCTAGCCACCACCACGCAAGTCCTGACCCCCTGCTGATCTTCTCCTTTGGCAAAAACCCAAAAGGGGAGGGGGAATGGCAAAGGAGCCACTGGGACAAACCAGCCACTGAGGCAGAGACGGCTCCTCCAGCTTAGCTATATTTTTCAGACACCCATGCCCTCACCTTCATTTCCACCTGGGAAGGGACCTTAGAAACCTTTACCCATTGTAGGAATCCCTCTCCAACATTCCTGGCTCTGGTCTTCTAGTCCAGCCTCTGCTTGAACACCACTCAGGACAGGAAGCTCTCTACTCCCTGTTGTTACCAGAACAAGCTTCTAGATGAAGGTTCTTTCCCTGCTCAGTAAGAATAACAAAGCAGGGAGCTTACCGCTCAAGCAAAAGGGTGTATTAGAAAGAGAAGCACCCTCCAAGTTGTTGCCGCACGCCCGACCCCTGGGCAGCCTATTCGGACAGCAGAAGGAAACACTGCCATCCTCACAATTGCTCACGGGTTGCATTCGTCCATCTCATTGGAGAGCTTGCTCCTTTTTACCGCCCCTCTGCTTTCCCAAGCATGGTGTCCTTCTCCAGGGACCGGGGTCTCTTGACGACATGTCCAAAGTAGGTGTGACAAAGTTTCACCATCCTTGCTGGTAAGGAGCATTCTGGCCTTACTTCTTCCAAGACAGCTGTGTTTGTTCTTGTGGCAGTCCACGGTACTCTCAATCTCCTACCAGCACCCTAATTCAAATCATGCAGGGGGGACGCGGAAAAAGGTTTATTGGCTAGAAAAGCCTCTTCAAAGGGGAGACATGGAGGGTGTCTCGCAGAACAAGAAAGATTTTTAAGAGCGTTGAGGAGCAAACGACATGGTATTTACTCCTGGAAAGAGGTGAAGAATTCTGGGCATTAAGCTCCCGTGGGTGGGGCTGTGGTAGATGAGGGTGGGACCTCCGTAAGGGCTTCTGGGTGGGGTCTCATCGCTTATTTTGTGATGGTGCACATGCTCAGCACAGCTGGTTCCTCACGTTTGAGTCCTACCTATTCCCAGGTATTCTTTGCTCCGGGGCTCCACGTGAGGTCACCGGTGTCAGGTCTTATTCTGCTCTTGTGCTCAGTGTGAGCTGGCCCAACTCTGAACGCTGCAGATCAGGGAGTGGAGCGAAAACACATTATTTTCAGAGGGAAGAAAGACACCTCCTTTTTTTTTTATCATTTTATTGGGGGTTCGTACAACTTTTATCATAATCCATACATACATCCATTGTGACCAGCACATTTGTACATATGTTATCATCATCATTCTCAAAACATTTGCTTTCTACTTGAGCCCTTAGTATCAGCTCCTCATTTTCCCCCCTCCCTCCCTCATAAGCCCTTGATAATTTATAAATTATTATTTTTTCATGCCTTACACTGACCGATGTCTCATTTCACCCACTTTTTTGTTGTCTGTTCCCCAGGGAGGGGGTTATATGTAAATCATTGCGATCAGTTCCCCCTCCACCCCAACCTTTCCCTTACCCTCCTGGTATAGCTACTCTCATTATTGGTCCTGAGGGGTTTATCTGTCCTGGATTCCCTGTGTTTCCAGCTCTTATCTGTACCAGTGTACATGCTCTGGTCTAGCCAGCTTTGTAAGGTAGAATTGGGATCATGATAGTGGGGAGAAGGAAGCATTAAAGAACTAGAGGAAAGTTGTATGTTTCATCAGTGTTATACTATACCCCGACTGGCTCGTCTTCTCTCTGCCACACTTCTGTAGAGGGATGGCCTGTTGCCTACAGATGGGCTTTGGGTCTCCACTCTGCACTCCCCCTAATTCACATGATATGATTTTTTGTTCTTTGATGCCTGATACCTGATTCCTTCGACACCTCGTGGTCACGCAGGTTGGCGTGCTTCCATGGGGGCTTTGTTGCTTCTGAACTAGATGGCTGGTTGCTTACCTTCAAGCCTTTAAGACCCCAGACACTATATCTTTTGATAGCCAGGCACCATCAGCTTTCTTCACCACATTTGCTTATGCCCCCACTTTGTCTCCAGCGAACGTGTAGGGAAGGTGAGTATCATGGAATGCCAGATTAATAGAACAAAGCATTCTTGCATTGAGGGAGTACTTGAGTGACGGTCCAGTGTCCACCTGCTACCTTAATACTAAACCTATAAATATATGCACATAGATTTTCTCCATCATCATATATAAATATATTTACATATGTACATGCCTGTATTTAGACCTCTATAAAATGCCCATTTGCCTCCTATTTCTTTCCTCTATTTCCCTTTACTTTCCTCTTGTCCCACTATCAGGCTCAGCCTTCATTTGAGTTTCAGTAATTCTTCTCGGTTACATTGCCCTTGATCAAGCCCTCCCAGGCCTTCTATACCCTCCTCGCCATCGATTCTGGATCACTAGTTGCTCCCTTGTCCCTGGGTTTGTTAGCACCCACTTCCTTTCCCCTGTCTCCACCTTTTGCAGGGAGGGAAGAACTTGGAAACAGCTATTATAATATGCCACACGTCTAAACATTTGTTAGCTGGGTGTGGCTGTGATGGCGCCAATAGGTGTGGGCCTGGGGAAATTCCTCAAAGTCATCCCAACCTGTAATGTAGGTACGGAATAACCCAGGCTCTTCCCTAACCTGTCTTCACTCTTTCCTTCTGATTGTTTGAATGCTAGTCCCCACCTCCACCTCCCAAAGCTTCTGGAACTCCTGTCCATTTGTCTTTACTTTCCCATTCTTGCAACCCATCGTTCCTTTCCCAGGCACCCTCTTGTTTGTTGTTGTTGTTGTTGTTGTTGTTGTTGTTAGGTGCCATCCGGTCGGTTCCGATCCAGAGCGTGACCCTCTGCACCACAGAACAAAGCACTGCCCGGTCCTGCATCATCCTCACAGTTGTCCCTATGCTTTAGCCCTTTGTTGTAGCCACTGCATCAATCCATCTCCTATGGCCTTCCTCTTGTGCTCACTTCTACTCTGCCGAGCATGAGGTCCTTCTCCAGGGACTGGTCTCTCCGGACAACCTGTCTAAAGTATGTGAGAGGAAGTCTCGCCGCCATCCTTGTGTCTCAGGAGCACTCTCGTTGTACTTCTTCCAAGACAGCTATGGTTTCCTTGCAGCAGTTCACCGTGCTTTCGCTGTTCTTCTTCAGCCCACGATTCAAATGCACCTTTGTTTGCCTTTGTTCAATGTCCAGTGTTCACATTTGTACAAGGCGCTGGAGAGCGCCAGGGCTGGGTCAGGCACACCCTAGTCCTCAAAGGAACATCTTTGCTTTTCAATTTTCTGAAGAGGTCTTGTGGGAGCCCTGATAGGATAGTGGTTACTCACTGGGCTGAGGTCCACATGGTCCACAGTTTGAAACCACCAGCAGCTCCTCAGAAGAAAGACTGGGCGTTCTACTCGCATGCAGAGTTACAGTCTCAGAACCGCACAGAGATCACTGTGAGTCAGCAGTGGCTCCGTGGCAGTGAGTTTGGGCTGAGTTCAAGAAGTCTTCTGCAGCAGATTTGCCTCAGACAACTTGTCTTTCGATCCCTTGACCGCTGCTCCATGAGCATTGATTGCGGTTCCAAACAAGCCAAAGTCCTTGACAGTTTCAACCTTGTCTCCATTTTCCGTGATGTTCCTATCGGTCCAGGTGTAAGAAACTTGGTCTTGTTTGCACTGAGGGCTGCACCCACACTGAGGGCTGCCATCCTTGATCATCACCAGCCAGTGCTTCCGTTTCTCCTCACTTGCAGCGACCAAGGCCATGGCACCTGCGTATCGCAGGTTGTTGATCAGCCTGCCTCCAATCCTGATGCCCCATTCTTCTTCATATAAAAGTCCCCCCAATGACCGGCCTGGAGACGATGGGGTGCTGCCAGAGGCGCTCCTGCCACCTCAGCCCCCTGCCCTGGGGACTCTGCTGCTGTTGCAGAAAGGGGACCCTCCTGATGAACAACGTCTTCGCCATCGTCCCTGCCATCCTCATGGGAGTCAGCAAAGTGGCCAAGGCTTGGGAGCTGATCATCTTTTCACGAGTGGTGCTGGGCGTCTGTGCAGGTACCTGGGGGGGCAGCTGGGGCCCAGGCTGAGCTCACGTTCAGCTAGGCTGGGCATCTAGATGGACACCCCGTGCCCCTTGGCCGTGGCTGGGACCTGGACCTGCGGGAGGTGGGTTCAGTCTTCTCACTCCGGGGCAGTCTCCTGGGTCTGACCTCAGGTCTGAACTCAGGTGTGCCCTTCCGTTTACGTAAAGCCAGCGTCAGGAAGCAATGTTCAGAAACGCCCTTTGAGTTCTTAGGACCTTGTCCTGAGACAGCCTAGTGAGGAAGCTGCTCTAGCTCACTGGAGGATGAGAGGGGACATGGCGTGAGGTGGCCAGTGACACCCCGCCCTGCAGATGACCGAGAGAGGCACTGCGGGCCTTCCAGCCCCGTAAGCTGACTAAGGTTGTGAGTTCAAGGAAGCCTCAGGGCCAAAGCCTCTCAGCAAAGTTCACTCAGGAAGGATCGAACCCCAAGCACATCTCTGCCTTCGAGTCCAGTCCAACTCACGGCCACCCTCCTGGGCAGGGTAGAACGGCCCCGTGCATTTCCAAGACCGAGACTCTTGGCGGGAGTAGAAAACCCCCATCTTGGAGAGACTGGTGGTTTCAAACTGCCGACCTCGTAGCTCCTAACCACATCACCAGGACTCCCTCGGGAAGGAGAGTGCTGTCATTATTGGTGTGTACCGGCGAGTGGATCCATGCTCCACAGGCTACAGTCTTTACAGAACCAGATGGCCGGGCGGCTTCTCCTGTTGTGGGTGCTGCTGGGTGCCTTTGACCCCCACCACCACCCCCAGCCCTTGGTGACCAGCTGAGGGCAAACCATTCATGACCTCCAGGGACTGGAAGAAATGGTATCTCCTGGATGCTTTAAGGGTCTCGCGGTGGTGCAAATGGTTTGCACTTGCCCACTAACCAAAAGGCTGACGATCTGAGCCCACTGGGCAGTGCTGAGGAAGAAAGGCCTGGTGATCTGCTTCTGTTAAGATTACAACCACGACACTCCTATGTTCTACTCGATAAACCACGGGGTTGCCATGAGTTGGAATCAACTTCCTGGAAACAAGTTTGGGGGGTTGGAAACTTTGTTAGTTTCAGTCCAAGAAAATCATAAAAATATCCCTTTACCTCATTTAAATTAGTTTAAAGGCTTACCAGATTAAGGCTTACAAGGTTTCTGCTAAGAAGGGGAGAGTCTGCTCTTTTTATAGCTCAGAAGTGATTAGGTTTAGGACCCATCCTATGGGAGCACAATTCCTTAAGACTGCCAGGGAGGGCTGAACCCACTAAGAAGCTCAGGGATTCTGAAAGGAATTTGAGTTAAATTTCAGGCTCTGGGGTCACAGGAAGTGGGGGCTGCTCTTTCCTTTTCTGATACTGTTTTGCTCAAACTAGGCATCTCCTACAGTGCCCTTCCCATGTACCTGGGAGAGCTGGCTCCCAAGAACCTGCGGGGCACCTTGGGGACAATGACCGAAGTCTTCGTCATCGTTGGAGTCTTCCTAGCTCAGATCTTCAGCCTGCAAGCCATCCTGGGGAATCCCACAGGTAACCAGGCAGCAAAAACAGAGGCCGGCAGGGAAGGGGAAGTTCAGAGGTCAGGGAAGTACTCCAGAATCTCCGGCCTGTAAGAAGGTAGGCCCTCCTCCAGCTGTGCCAGGTGCAGCAGATGCGTCAGACCAGATGCAGACTAAGAGTTGGCCTTGGGACCAGACATGTGGATGTGGTGCACACTGAGAAGAAAGGCCCGGTCATCTCCTTCTGAAAACACGGCCACTGACCACCCTGTGGAGTCCCTGGGGGGCACACACAGTTGAGCACAGCTGAGAAGTTAGTGGTTCAAACCCACTCAGAGGCTCCATGGAAGACCAAACCCAAACCAAACTCACTGAGTCACAGCAACCCCCTGTGCGTGTCTGAGACTGTAACTGTTGACGGGAGCAGAGAGCCCAGTCTTTCTCCCGCAGAGCTGCTGGGGGGTTCCCACTGCCCACCATGAGGAATGCCGCCAATGTGCACCCACGACCCCCCCCCCCAGAGACTTGTCTCTTTCCTTTTGGAAGCCCCAGGAGCAGTTCTACGCTGCACACGTGGGGCGCCAGGAGTGGGAAGCGACTCAACAGCAACTAACAACACACACAAACACATGCATGCATATGTACAGATACATGGCATGTACATATATGTGTGCATGGGTATGCATGCATGTGTGAAGGAGCCCTGGTGGTGGAGTGGATTACATGTTGGACTGGTAGTGAGTACATAAACGTGAGTGTGTGTGTGTGTGTGTGTGTGTGTGTGTGTGTGTGTGTGTGTTTAGGTTTAGGACTGTAAACCTACACCTACAGTGTGTGGTGGGGGGGCAGGGACTTCACTAAGTTCATGGAAAAATTCCGTTATGTTTTGCTTCCGTCTTTCCGTAAACTTTTTGAAGGCCCCTGAGCCCTGGTGGCACAGTGATTCAGTGCGTGGCTGCTAACTGCAAGGTAGTGATGCAAACCTACCAGTCACGCCAGGAGATCAGCTGTCTGCATCTGGAGAGATTTGCAGTCTCAGAAACCCACAGGAACGACTCTGTTCTGTCATAGAGGGTGTGTTAGGCCGGGTTGATGACAGAAAATCCAGGAGGAGTTTTAGATCAGGAAGTCATTGTGCATCAATAGAACACACCCCCCCCAGTCCAACTCAAGTCTGTAAGTCTGGTACTAGTCCCTAAGTCCCTCTTCAGACTCGCACAGGCACAAGCAATGCATGAAGACCACAGGCTGGTGGATGCAGAGTGGCATGGATTCTATGGCAAGGGCCGCAACACGGCTTGTGCAGGTCTCAGCGTATCTGCTCATGGCTTGTCAACAGGAAGGTGGCCTTAGAGGGAGGGGCCCACCTCCAGCAAGCCATTGATCCCGGTCACATTTCCAAAGGCACTCATCAAGCTGCGACCTGATTGATAGGCTAGACTCCACCCAGATCTTCTTACGGGTGCCTTGGTCCCCTCCAGGCTGGCCTGTGCTGTTGGCCATCACAGGGATCCCCGCGCTGCTGCAACTCCTGTCCCTGCCCTTCTTTCCCGAGAGCCCCCGCTACACCCTGATTCAGAGGAGGGATGAGGAAACGGCGCGACAAGGTATTTCCAATGCAGGGTGCTCTGCCGAGCCCCCTGAGCCATCCGTCTCCCTCCTGTGCCTCCCTTCCTGCTTAGTGTGGGCGGGGGCGAGGGGGTATAGGACCATCGAGGGTGGGAAAGTGAGGGGGGGAGGAGTCTGTGGGTGTGGTCTGCAGCCCAGGGGCTGGGGTCCGGCTGGAGCTCAGCCAAGAGTTAGAGTCGAGATCAGAGTGGGTTGGCAAGCTGAGAGAGAGTCAAGGGGTTGGTCAGGGTGGGCACAGTGCCACTGGGTCATGGGCCCCAGCCGGGCCCTAGTTAGGATCAGGAGAACCCTTTGCACTGGAGTGTTGCCTAGCTGTGGCCAGAGTGAGAAGGTAGCAGACACAAGAGGATGTGTCGAACCTGCTTGGGGCGTCTGGGCCCCAGGGGGACACACGCTGCTCTCCCACAGCTCTGAGGGCCCTGCGAGGCAGGACCAACGTGGACGATGAGATAGAGGAGATGCGTCTGGAGGCCCAGGCCGAGCAGGCCGAGGGCCAACTGTCCGTGCTCAACCTCTTCACCTTCCGGCCTCTGCGGTGGCAGCTCATCTCCATCATTGTGCTCATGGCCGGCCAGCAGCTCTCCGGGATCAATGCGGTACGTGAGCCCGGGGTGGCCACCGAGCCCAGAGCAGCAGGTCAGTGTGGGCGAGGAGAAGCATAGTCCTGCGCTGCTCAGCTGCTTTGCCCTGAGCCACCAGGGCAGCGGTTCTCAACCTGTGGGTCGCGACCCCTCTGGGGGTCAAACGACCCTTTCACAGGGGTTGCCCGATTCATAACAGTAGCAAAATGACAGTGATGAAGTAGCAACAAAAAAAATTGCTATGGTTGGGGGGTCACCACCACATGAGGAACTATATTAAAGGGTCGCGGCATTAGGAAGGTTGCGAACCACTGATCCAGAAGGTGGTTTTGATTTAATTAAACGTGAGAAACTATTTTGGGCTATTATGGATAGTATCTAAGGAGCACTGGTGGTGCAGGGGTTAAGCATGCAGTTGCCAACAGAGAAGCTGGTGCTTTGAATCCACCCCGCAGCAGCTCTGTGGGAGGGAGAGCTGCTGCTCTGCTTGCACAGCCTAGAAAACTCGACAGGGCAGTTTGCTTTGTCACATGGGGTTACCAGGGTTTGAAATCGCCTCAATGGCACCTAACAAGGACAGCATCAAGAGTAGTCGTGATCAGGTTGTTTTTAGCTGCTGTGACCCTGTGCACAGCAGAACCACATCCTGCCCAAGTCTGCACCATCCCCAGGATCAGACAGTTGTGACCCATTGTCTGATGGCTCTTCAGAGAGATGGCCAGGCCTTTCTTCCTTGTCCATGCATCTGGAAACTCTGCTGAAACCTGATCGGCAGCACAGCAACTGATCGATGCCTTGGGGGGCGGGGTGTGTGTGCATGAACTGCATCGACTGGGAATCGAACCCAGGTCTCTAGCATGGAAGACAAGAAGCCTGTCCCGGAGTCATCATAGCCAGCCTCTCGCATTATTTCGGTGTGCAAAGTTCAGCTCTGCATCCAGAACAGAATCAAGGAGGAGTTGAGGTGGCAAGGATTCGAAAGAGGGGTCTGTGATAGGCAGCCACCCTTCACGACCCAACTCTTTTTCAAATGATTGAACTATTGAATGGTATGATAAGTGCGTCAGATCAATAAAAAGTGAAAGATATAACAATAAAGGTTGGTGGTTCGAACCTCCCCAGCAGCTCCGCAGAAGACAGGCCTGGAGCACTGCTTCCATAAAGATGGTTGGCGGCTGTAGAACCGCGTCTGACTCTTAGCCGCCCCTATGGAACAGAGTAGAATTGCTCTGTGGGGTTTCTGGGGTGTAATATCGATGGACATGGAGATCCAGGTCTTTCTCTTTTAACCATGACTCAACTCACTGCCATCAAGTCCAAGCTGGCTCCCAGCGACCCCCTGTGGGTTCCTGAGACTGTAACTGTTTACCTCAGGAGACAGTCCGGTCTTTCTCCCTCCGAGCTGCTGGTGACTTTGAACTGCGGAGACCGTGCGGAACGCAGCCTAACTCGTAACCACTGCACCGCCCTCGGGAGCAATCCTACCGTTTAACACATGGGGCTGCCAGGGGCAAGGGACCGGCTCAGTGGTAGCTAATACCAACCACAGAGGTGGTCTAGTTCAGCTCCCCATGGCATAGAAGCAGACACTGAGGCTCATCAGGGGAAGAGGCCAGACCCCACCCCAGGTCTCCTAGCCCCAACTCAGGGCCTTTTCCTGAAACCTCCCTCCTCCTCCTCCTCCTCCTCCTCCCTGAGCAAGGGCCTCCCACCCTGCTCCCAGGGCTGCTTCCGCTTGGTTCCCTGGGCCTCTCCTCACACCCCTGGGCTTCCCTTTCAGATCAACTACTACGCAGACACCATCTACGCCTCGGCGGGTGTGCAGGCTGGACACTCCCAGTATGTCACGGTGGGGGCCGGCGTGGTCAACATAGTGATGACAGTCATTTCAGTGAGTGGCTGGGGGGCCCTGAGTGCTCACGGTTTAGTGTTTAGATGCGGCCCTGCCATGGCCTGAGCGACCTGCACCCTGGGCTGTGCACCACCTTCCTAGCTGTGAGACCTCAAGCGGGTCACTCCAGTACCTTCCCGTCCCGTTTGGTCCTGTGTGGAATGAGGGCGGCGACTGCATTCTCTTTCGTTGGTGTGACCATTATTTCAGATACCGAGTTGATTATGCCATGGTGCCCTGGCTACATGAAAGAGACGAATGGATGGGGGTGCCCTCAGAGGCCTGTGCCCACGACGGGCCTTCCTTTAGGGCTTCCCACGCTTCATCACTCATTTCATCCCTGCCTCCTGGGTTCCCTGGGAGGGTAAACTTCTAGGCATGCAGTCCTTATTCAAACTTTCTAAGAGCTGGTGTATGCCCTAGTTGAGGGCCAGAGGATACAGCATGGGGGCAGTGGTGGGGAATATTCTAAAGCAGCAGAGAAGGATGGAGGGAAGGCAGAAAGGGCAAGTCCAGACCCAGTTCTAAGATCCTTCCTCTGGCTGGATGCCTTACCTCCCCCCACCCCTCACCCCTTTCTCCTCTGGGCTGGGGCCAGTCTAGACCATCATAAGCCCTCCACTCCTAGCTTAATGTTAACTAGAACCTGCCCCCACCCGCCTGCCTGCAGAACTCAAGTCAAAAGACAGAGGCTCCGGAGCGGAGCCTGACTCTCCCTGAGGAGGAAGTGGATCTTCAAGCTCCCTTGGGCCTCAACCATGAGGGCTTCCCAAAATCAACCCTGGAATTTTCCCACAAGCTTTCTGAATCCCCTGCTCTGAGGTGGCCCTCACTGCTAGGCCCCTCCTTTGGGGTTGCTGAAGAGCTGGGGGGTGGGGGGAGAGGTCGGGTAAAGTGAGAGCCCCTGCAGTGGGGGCTGGGGGCTGGAGCCAGATGGGCAGAGACATAGAAGTAAAGGCAGGAGGCCCAATGGCTTGCTTTGCCAGGACCTACCTGTTGGGCAAGAGATAGGAGGTGCCTGCCTGGGGAGAGCCCTGGGGAAGGGATGGCGATGGGGCCGGGTGGAGGCCTGGGGAGGAAGATTTCTAAGATGCCTGGGAGAGAGATGGACAGATGGGGCTTCTGAACGCATGCCTATCAACTTCGGGTCGAAAAAGGCCGTTTGTAGTCCAAGCTGTTGGAAGCAGGCTTCCCAAAGGGATGCTTTTTAAGCGGCGGGAGAAGGGAGGGGCCCCAGAGCCGTGGGGCCAGTGCTAACCCCTCTAACCCCTGCTTCCCGCCTCCGCAGGCTCTGACCGTGGAGCTGCTGGGCCGGCGGTGTCTCCTGCTGGCCGGCTACGGCGTCTGCGGCTCCGCCTGCCTCGGGCTGACGCTGGTGCTGCTCTTCCAGGTTAGGACCACCCCGGGGCCCCTGGGGACCTGGCGGGGAGGGGGGGTGTCCTCGGGCTGACGCTGGTGCTGCTCCTCCAGGTCAGGACCACCCCGGGGCCCCTGGGGACCTGGCGGGGAGGGGGTGGTCCTCATCACATCGCCAGCGCCCTAGATCCCGTGGCGGGTCCCCAACCTGTTGGCCCCCTGCCTCTTTACACATGAGGGCGTTTCCAAAAAGCTTGTGAATTGTCTGGGATCTGTTCGTTCTCTCCGTGCCTTTGTGGGAGCCCCCAGTCCCCCAGTGCTCAGTACGGCGCGAGGGCCCCTTTACTGTGCCTGGTGCCATGAAGCGCAGAGATGACTGACCTGACTGCGCACAGCGCTTTAAGTCGGTAAATAAACACAACGCCCTGAAGGTAAGGGTGCCACGACGACGACGTTAAGCCCTTGACTTCTAACCCTAAGGTTGGTCGTTCAGACCCACCCGGTGGCTCTGCGGGAGAAAAGGCCTGGTGATCTGTGCCGTAAAAA